CCTGCCCAAGTATTCCCCTCAAGCATCTTGGCCACCGGTGACTCCTGCACTAACAACTGGGAAAACCACTGGCATTTTTGCAGGCAGGGCGGTGACATAAGCCAATTTGGGTTTGTTTTGCTGACGCTGAGAGAAAAAAACCAGCAATTTCCATGGAGCAGACCAGCCCATCTGCCCGGGCAGCAGCTCCAGGCTGCCCCACCTTGCTGGAGTGGGGATGGGGCTCCCACAGCTCTCACAGCCCCTCAGCATCCTTGCACAGAGGGGAGAGGATGCACCAGTGAGGGTGTGACCCAGGGGCCAGTGACACTCCAGTCCAGCATTGTCCCAGCACTGTCACAACTGTGAGTCCTGCAAAATCTCCCTCCCTGCCCACGCTTGTGCAAGTCAAAGGCCCTCTAAGCCAAGACTCTGTTGTAAAATATGCACCACACAGCCCAGCATGGAACTCTAATTTGACAAGAAAATTACAGGATGGCTTGGAACCAGCCTGACAGAAGCTGGGGGGAGCTGCCAGGCGCATGATCCCATCAAAAGGATGGGAGCTGCTCGGCGCACCCTGCAACAGGGGCTGGCGGGCTCTGCCCCCACTCCCCTCCCAGCACCTCCGGATTTGCACGTGGCTAATCCCATTACCAGACAGACAGGAAAACAACGGCACGAAGACGGCTGTCAGGGCGAATTACACCCTGAGGAAAACCTCTGGGATACGTCTTCATGAAGCTGACAGCCCACTCCACTGGCTGGGAGTAATTGTGAGCAAGACAGCAGCAGGAAAGGCCTCCCAGGAGCGGGGGAATTGGGGAAGGGGCTTGGAAAGGGGCACTCTGTGGCTCTGTGGCACACCCACCAGCACGCTGCCACTGCTGCTGGAAAGCCCCAAATGATTTGAGCCTTGCTGCCACGCCAAAATCTGTGCTCAGTGCCCTTGGGGACACAGTGCACAGCCGCGCTGCCATGGGCACGGGCAATCACGTGTCTGCATCCAGTTGAAGTTGTAAAAACGCTGCCAGGCCAGTTCAGGCAGCTGGCTGCCCCCTTGCCAGGTCAGCTCTCACCCTCAGAGGCAGGGTGTGAATTATCATCACGGGTTAATGTGACACTGCACGAGCAATAACAAACACGGACTGAGCGCGCAGGGCTGCACACGTGGGGACACAACGGGGACACGGCTGTGACTTCCAGCCTGGGACAGAAGGCTGCCTTTCCAAGACTGACAAGATGTGGAAAAATCTCCTCCAATTTCACCCAGGCTCCTCCAGTCTCCCTGAGTACAGTCTGGCCAAAGTCTCCGCTGCCATCTGCTCTTTCCTGCAAGCTTTCCATTAGTGGCAGCCCAAGGAAACCTCTTGGCTAAATCCTGCTGGGGGAGGATTTGGTACATTTTCCTGGCATGGCCTGGCTGTTTCTATTGTGGCTATCAAATGGAGCCAGGATTGTCAAGGAAGCAGAGTCTGCTGCTTTGGAAAGCTGCCTGGTGTCCAGGAGGCATTGCCTCTGCCTGCCAGGGAGATGCACATGGGTGCTGGGGGCTGGCAGGGACCCTGGACACTGCTCAGGGGATGCTCACTGGGGATCTGTGCCAGGGATCACCTCCCCAGCCTCCCTGGCAGCACTACTTGCCCTGGGCTGGCCCCAGGCTGTTGACGCCACGCCTTTAATTCCTGGTTAAAAATTCACTGGAGGTGAGGCGAAGGGGTGCAGAAGTGTTTGCTTTCTCTCTGAGCACGCTGCTCGGTGTGGCCATGCCGCGGCAGCGGAGCAGGAAGGTGAAAAGGATGTGACTGCAGTGCTGTGACACCCCCAGGCACGACAGAGGGCCAGGGCAGGGCAGGAGAGGGGAGCAGAGGAGGAGTCCCAGGTTTGCACAGCCATCAGCAGCCTGCACACCTCCATCCATGAGAAAAATCTGGCCATAACAGAAATCCAATTCAGCTAGCCTAGTTCATTTTAGAAAAGAAATAAGCCAGCCCCTAAGTAAGCAGCGATAAGATAGATTTGAACTCAAACAGGAGACCTCAGCCAACCCCAACCAATCCTAAATGCAAACATATCACTAGCTAGAGAGCTAGGTGGTGCTGAGACCACGACCAATCAGTTACTCAAGCAGTTTTGAACCCCCTATAAAAGAGAGTTCAAAACAATAAACCACACAGTTTGTCCCATGATCTCAGTGCCTTGAGTCATGTGTCTGTCTCCAACCCACAACCATGACCAGCAGCCTGCCCCAGGGCACTCCAGGAACCCCCTGAGCTCCCCAGGATGATTCCCAACTCTCACCCTACCTGAAAACCTACAGGCTGATGCAGATCTCTGCCTGCATCCTGGGGTGTTCCCTGGGATGCCCCCAGACAGCAGAGCTGGTGAGGAGGAGCCAGCAGCACCCTCCCTCCCCAGTGTCACAGCCAGAGCCTGCACCAGCAGCTCTTCCTGCCCAGGGCACTGCACTGGCACAGGGGGGTTTACAGCCCAAATCCTTCTCCTCTGCTTGGTTTTGTGCCATTCCTTCTCCTTCAGCCCTGCAGGGTCTCCTACGCTCTCTGCCAATTCTTTAACCTGCCCCTGGGACTAAGCCAAAGCTCAGCCAGGCCAGGGAGAGCCCCTCTGCCCACTCAGGGAGTAGCTGAGCCAGCTCTTGGCCCCGTGGAAACAAGCTGTGCTTACTGGGTCACTTTTAATATCCCATCTTAAATCACATCTTCCAGCACTTCATCCCTCTTGGCTCCTGTTTATTGACTTCCCAGCAAATGCTTTAAATCTGTCTGGCTTCCCTGCCTGGCTGTGCTGCTCTGGCCCCCAGCATCCCAGAGCCATCCTGTCCTGCCATTTCCCTGCATTCCAGGACTCTCCAAACCATGATGGACTGGCTCAGACATACCCAGGGCTGCCCTCATCATTCCTACCCCTATGAGTCCATTCCTGGTGTTTTCCATGTGTGCTGTTCCTCTCCAGGAGCAGCCTTTGTGCACTCTCCATCCCTTCTGTGAGTGATGAAGGATGGCACAAGCTGTGCAGTCCCTTTTCTGCTGGCACAGGCGCCCTCAGCCTTGTGTTGAGAAGCACCACTAGGTGACAATCCTGCTCCTCCTGCAGCCTGGGGACACCCAGGCTGGCACCCATCACCCAGATTGCCCTCAGAATAGTCTGAAAAGCTGGTGAGTTCTCTGCTAAGCTCCCAGGTTTCCTGGGAGCCAGCAAGTGAAGTGGCCCAGGACAAATTCACAAGCCTTGGGGGATTTCCAAGCAAAGCTGCATCCACTTTGTTCTCTATTTTCATCTGTACCCTGGAGAGCATGTCTGTAATCACCAGGGCCCTCCGACTTTTTTAGCCTCAGTCCAAGTCCAAGTTGAAAAAAAAATAAAATATTTGACATCCCTGAGGGGAAGGATGTTTTCCGAGCATCAAGTAAAGGAGCACTTTCAGCTCACATAGACCTTCCAAAAATAAATACAAAAATGCGCCGAGGTCTGTCATGAGAGGTGCCCAGTCCTGAGGATGGGGGGACACTGCTCACTCAGATCCTGAGCAGGCAGCTTGTGCCCTTTGGTGTAGCAGGATGCTGTGATATTTCCAGGCTTCCCAGCATTCCCTTGGGCAGCAGAGCTGAATTTTGTGTATTTTTAATTTCATTGCATTCCTTCAGCAAAACCCTCATGGGGAAAAGAAAAATGTAAGGATTAAAAAAAAAAAAAAAAAAGAAGAAAGAAAAGGAACTGGGGAGTTGGGGGTAAACCAGATCCTGTTGGGATTGCTGAGTGGCTGGTGCACATTTTGGGGCCAGGGAGATGCTGGGGAGGAAAATCAGCCTGTGCAGGCCATCAGGGAAGCTCCCTGCTGCAGGGGATGGCCACAGGCTAGCACAGGGAAGCTGGCTTATTAAACTCGTTAATTAATGATGGGAAATAAGAGTTGCAAGGGGAGATGGATCCGTGCCAGGGGCGCTGCTGGCAGTTCTAGTGGGATGAGTGATGGGCACCACTGATACTGCACGGGGCAGACTTGGCGAATTTTGGCTGCGGCTCAGGGGAGGAGCCAGCAGAGTGACACTGCTCTGATTTACACCGCAGCCTTGTCCCTAAAGCATCCGCGGGGTCAGCTCTCCATAGAAACCCCAGCAAAACACCAACACACTGAGCCCGCTCCCGACCCGGAGCTGCGCTGCCCAGCCCTCTGTGCCTGGGAAAAGGCTCCGTGCCTCTGGGATCGCCGCCAGCAGGGAAAAACCACTGTCCTGAGGCGGGAATGTCGCTGCTGTGCCTGTCCTGCAGCTGTGCCTGGGCGAGGAGCGAGCCAGGGGCTGTGGTTGGCAACCAAACCCTTCTAGCGGGCGATGGAGCATCTCCGGGCTGGGCTGGGTTCAGCACACCGCGGGTCTGTGCTTGTCCCAGCACCCGGGGCCGGGGGATGCCTGGGTCCCCGGGGGCTCTTGCCAGGACGTGACAGAAGGGACGAGCCCGAGCAGCAGTTCCCAGAAGCCGTGTTTGGCTTGGCAGCCCAAAGCTCCGTGCCTCTCTCTCCAGGCGCCCGGCTCCAAAGGGGAATAGCTGGAAATCTACAGCCAGGCCTGGCAGCAGGGCTGGGATGTGCCTGGGGACAGGGGCTGGCCAGTGTCCCCACACTGCATTCCTGCCCTGCTGCTGCCAGGCTGAGCTTTCCCCATGGCAGCCCCTGTGCCTGCTCAGCAAACCCAAGGCTGGGGAAAACAGCGGCACCTGCTCTTTAACTCCACTCATTTCCCACTCCCCAAAACTGGGAAGGGCACATCCCACCCTACCCCATCCCCTCTGCAGGGCCAGCACAGCTTCCTCCGAGCCTCTTGTGCTCGCAGGGCAGGGAACAGCTCCTCAGGATGAGCTCAGGCTCAGCTGGAGCTGCCTAGCCCAGCCCCAGGAGGAGCCAGCCACAGCAGCAGGCTCCCACCTCGTCGTGGGACCCCAAGGACGCTGTGTGGTGTGCACAGCTTCCCCTACCTCCTGTGCACCTCCTCCCGGAGCTGAGCTGCACAACACATCTCTCAAAACCTTTATTGTCAGCAGATAACAAAAGTCAGCCCTGCAGCAGCACAGGGAGGCTGAAGGGAGGGGGTGCTGGCACCCAGGGCCCCCCGCCCCAGCCCCCTCCCCTGCTCCTGGGCAGCAGCAGGGCTGGGCGTGCACGGGGGGACGGGTGACATGGGGGGCACGTGTCATTCTCCAAAGCAAGGAGCACATGTACAACTGCTTATAAATAAACAACAACAAGGAGAAACCTCCGGCTCTGGGAAGCAGGGGAGGGTCCTGCTGCCCAGGCCACCAGCCCAATGTGCTCTGTCCTCCAAAGGTGGGGAGGGGAGGGGAGAGGAGAGCCCCCTGCACCAGGGCTGCAGCTGCCAGGGGCCCCCAGGGGCATCAGGCTGGGGGACACCAACCTAAACCAGCCCACAGAGCAGGCTGGGCACCTGCCTGGGTGCACCTACAGGGATCCAAAGACAGGGATGTAGGGAGGTGCCAGACCTAACAGTGGACCCAGGAACAGTGGGAGCCTGGGAAAGGCCAGGTGAAGGGCACTGCTGCCAGGTGTCACACATCTCCAGCAGCTGGTGAGGAAGAGGGATGGGCACCCTCACCTCAACCCCAAGCACGGAGGAGGGACAGCCTGGAGCACCCTCCTCCTGTGGTTGGACTCCTGCCATCCATCCATCCATCCATGGGACCACCTTCCCCCATCCTCAGCCCTTCGGGGCATCAGCACCTGCCCTACTGCCCCCCACCCTCAGAGGGGCTGGTGACAGGGCTGGGGAGGGCAGAGCACATTGGGAACCACCGGAGATCCCTTCTACCTTTGCCTTAAAACACTGAAGCTTATATTAGAGACTATGATAATAATAACCCAGGGGCAGGGCTGTCCTGCCCAGAGGAGTAGAGACAGCAGAGAGGGCACAGCTCCGTGGCCAGCCTGGTGAGGGTCTGCTCAGGTGGGAGCAGGAGGTTAGTACAGGGGGGCACAGAGCGTGTGGGCAGCTGGGGACGCTGCCTAGGGCTGGTTCTTCGCCTCGGGGTCTTTGTCATAGATGTAGCTCCCCACAGCTCCGGTGTTGACACCTGCACGGGGCAAGAAACAGCAGGGTGAGGACAGGGGCATGCTCCAGGGATGTGTCCCCTCTGGGTGGTGGCATGAGCACTGAGAGGGACCCTGGGCTTGGTGCCCACCCCCTGTGCCCCCAGTGCTCACCCTTTGGCCCGAAGAGGATCCCATAGCAGGGCTTGTGGCAGTACGGCTGTCCATCGTGCTGTGGAGGGCAGAGAGAGAGAAACATGTCACCTGGGCTGGGGACCAGGGAAAATCCTGTCCTCAGGACGTGCCCACCTGGCTGGACACCTCCCTTGCTCTTCCCCTGCAGACACCCCAAGGACCCCAGCACTTGCCCGGGCTCCTCCCAGCCCTGCCCTCTGCAAAGGCAGTGGGTGCCATCAGGGTGGCCTGGGACATCCCAGCCAGGACCAGGATGGCCTGGGACACCTCAGCCACCCCCAGAAGCAGCCCCAGGTGTGCAGGCCAGGGCTGTGAGGCTGGCACACCCTTACCTCGGCGTGCCCCCCCGGGGTCAGTGTCTTGCTGCAGCGCTCACAGCGTAGGCAGGGACGGTGCCAGTCCTTCCCCAGCGAGGTCACCTTCTCAGCTGGAGTGGGACAAGGACAAGGAGGGAAGGTCACAGCAGCCCCCTGCAACGTGCTGAGGGCAGCATTCCCCATGGGGGTGTCACAAAATCCCAGGAGAGCCCTTGGGATCTGCAGCCTCCCACCCCTCTGGTGCCTCGCAGGTGACACAGGATGGCTGAGGACAGCTATTAGCTCGTGGGAGGTGACAGCAGGGGACACAACGCAGATAAAGCCCTGCAGCCAGGAGTATATCCAACAGGACCGTCCCTGAAGGGTCATCCCTCTGTGCACACAACCCCCTCTCTGATCCAAACCCTGCTCCCAGCTTCTCTGCACGCCCCAGGGTTCCTGCACAGAGCCCAGGCCCATGGGGCCATGTCACACTATGGGGCCATATCACCCTGTGGGGCCCTGTCACCCTGTGGGACCCTGTCACCCTGTGGGGCCATGTCACCTTGTGGGGTTGTGTCACCCTGTGGGACCCTGTCACCCTGTGGGGCTGTGCCACCCCCAGGCAAGCACCCACTGCCCAGTGGCCACCTTACCAAAGTAGACCCTCTTGCCACAGCGCGGGCACATGTTGGGCTCCCCGGTGAAGGTGGTGACACTGGAGGCTGGAAGAGAAGAGGACATGAGCCTGGGAGGTGGGGGGGACATCTCAGCCAGGTGGGGAGGACCCCACACACCAACCCTGCAGCCACAGCATCACCAGACACGGTGGCTGTGCAGTGGCTAACCCAGCATGGCAAAGGGACAGTCCTGGTCCTGCCCAGCCCAGCATGGCAAAGGGACAGTCCTGGTCCTGCCCAGCCCAGCATGGCATTCCCTGTCCCTCACCTTTGCTGGGTCCTTTGGGAGGTGCAGCATTCACCTTCCTCTCCTCCACCTTCACCGGGTGCTCGATGGGTCCCGGAGCCGTCTGCCCCTCGATCTGAGGCTTGTCGTAGATGTAGGAGCCGGCCCCGCCGATGTTCACCCCTGCAGAGGGGCACAGAGGGGCTGCCTGGGACCCCTGGGGTGTCCATTGTCCCCCCATCCCCTGTCCCACTCCCCCAGCCCCACCCAGCCAGGAGCCATGCTGCACTTCAGCCCTGGCTTGCTTCCTCCTGACCCAGCCACATCTGGGATGGGAGAGTAACTCCACCTTCTGTCTGAATGGGAATTTGTTTCTAAAAAAAAAAAAAAAAAAAAAAAAAAAAAAAAAAAAAAGGGGAAGCTGTCAGAATAGATTCCTTCCTTCCCTCCAGCAGCTCTCCCTCTCCCTCTGCACAAGGAGGGACTGCAGGCTGGGACTGCAATTTGCTGGCTCGATGCTCTGCCCAGCTAGCCTGGTCTCTGGGATGCTGCTGTGGCCACCAGTGGGGTGAGGGAACCTGGCTCCTGCTGCAGCCCAGCACAGCCCCGGGGCAGGGGGCACACAGACCTACCTTTGGGGCCGAAGAGTGTGGCATAGCAGGGCTTGTGGCAGAAGGGCTTCCCGTCGTGCTGGGGAGAGAGGGCACTGTTAGGATGCTGAGTGGCCACCACGGCGCCCCCAGGGGCACCTTCAGAGACCACCATGGCCATGCCTACACCCTAAAATGCACCCAGCTCTGGGTCTATCCCACCTGAGCACTCCTGCATCAACCACTGGGCTGTTGTGCACTCAGCCACGGCCACCTCCATGCCCTGTGTGGCACCTGCCATCACCTCACCCCAGCCCCCTGTGCACAGCCAGCCCACTCTGGGTGTTCAGAGCACCGTGGGAGCTCTGAGCTTCGCTTTCCCTGCCTTGGGCCAGGATCAGAGGCCCAGCCCAGCTGCTATGGACCCCGCTATCGTCTGGGGCCATTATCACAGGAAGGCATGAGGCAGGCGATAAGCCCCAGAACTCCCCAGAGTCGCTTCTCATGGGCCAGCTGGAAGCCAGTCCAAGAGAAAAGAAGGAGTGTTTGTGGCTGGGGCAGGGGGCCAGCCAGCAGGGCCTGGCTGGAAAACCCACCGGGAGCCTGTGCTCAGGCAGGATCCCACCCCATAGCCCCGCTCAGCATCTCAGCCCTGCCTCTGCCCCCTGCTCCTGCCCCCCATCCCTCTGCTGCCCGCAAGGGCTCCTTGCCCACCAAGGGCAGGGTGGCAGCTGAGCAGAGGTGCCAGGACAGCCAGAGGTGAGGCTGGGGGAGCGAGAAGGCTGTGGGCTGGCCAAAGGCAGCTGCAAAATATTGCAAGGCATAAATGTGAGTGTGCTCACGGCGTTGCCGTGCCAGAGGGGAGGGTAAACATTTGACTGGTCTCCCCATGACACCTTTCCAACCTAACCTCCTCAAAAGGAGGGAGGAAAAGCAGGGAAGGGCCAAATCTGCTCTGAGCACAGTCAGTGGGGCTTGGCTGCCATCCCCTATGGGAACAGAACCCAACCTTATATGGAGAAGCAGCAAATCTGGGCTTTGCCCAGCCTGGAGCACAGATCCTGCAGGGCAGGCCCTGCTTCCCCCCGGGGTGGGGGCCACCAGCACGGCTGTCCCTGCCAGAGCCAGGCTAAGGAGCTGGTGACACCGTGGAATGACAGGTGCTGTGCAAACCCAGGGCTCCGGGTGTCACACGGGGACACTGCTCAGCGAAAACACAGTTGTCCCTAAGCCTGAGCAGCTGCCACCACCGGCGTGGTGCCTTCACACTCCCAAGTGCTGGGGAGTGGCAGTGGCATCACACTCCAGCACAAGCTCCAGGGCACAGAGAGCATCAGCACCGAGCTCTCCTGTCCATGGCAATCCAGGCATTCTCCATTCTTGGTGTTTTTAACCACAGGGCAGTGCAGGCTCTCGGCACACACACCTCTCCAAACGAGCCTGCCCAGTGCATGGAGCTTCAGATGCTTCCTGGGGCACGCCAAGCCCAGCCACAGCTGCCTGGGAGCCCAGGGTCACAGAGCAGGGACACCACACGTGGTGCCAGCACCACTCTGTGGCTTGCCCAGGGCTGTGCACAAGAGCAGCCTGAGCTGCTGCAGCAGCCACAGCGTGTTCTCCTGGGCTTGCATGCCCCACACAGCATCAGATCTCTGTTCCTGGATCCCCCAGCCCTGTTCCTGGATCCCCCAGCCCTGTTCCTGAATCCCCCGCCCTGTTCTTGGATCCCCCAGCCCTGTTCCTGGATCCCCCAGCCCTGCTCCTGAATCCCCCGCCCTGTTCTTGGATCCCCCAGCCCTGTTCCTGGATCCCCCAGCCCTGCTCCTGAATCCCCCGCCCTGTTCTTGGATCCCCCAGCCCTGGTCCTGGATCCCCCAGCCCTGCTCCTGGATCCCCCAGCCCTGCTCCTGGATCCCCCAGCCCTGTTCCTGGATTCCCAGCCCTGCTCCCACCCTGGCAGCCCTTACCTCAGCGTGCCCACCCGGCGTCAGGGTCTTGTTGCAGCGCTCACACTTCAGGCAGAATTTGTGCCAGTCCTTGCCCAGGGAGGACACCTTCTCGGCTGCAGGGGACACGAGAGAGGGGTGAGCCGTGCCCAGCACCCCCTGAAGCCCCTGTGGCACTGAAGGCTGCGGGAACCACGGGGGGCTGCGCCCGAGAGGGGCTGCACTCTCACAAAGGGCTGCTCACGCATCAGGACACAGGAGCCACTCTGCTGCAGCCCTGTGGCCACAAACCCGCAGTGTGACCCCTCACAGCACTGCCCCGGCTATTAGGAAGAAGACGAGTCCCATCCCAGCTGAAAGCAGGACACCCTGCAGCTGTCACCCCACAGCCATGCTTTCCCACGCACCAGTCCAACAGCGGTAGCGTTTTCTTTCCTGCTCCCCGCGTCTATTTTTACCCACCACGTTACCCGGAATGACTTCACTTCACTCCCATTCAAATATTTGGCGTTTCCATGCCCACCCCACCCGTGCAGCCACACTCCCCCCACGCACAGCCTGGGGAGCCTCAGCTGCAGCTCCAGAGATGCTCCTGGAGGAGGGAACAGGAGGGAACAGCCTCCACTGTCATCCAGCACGGACTTTTGGCCCTGGAAAACACCTGTCCCCTCGTCCCCAGCATGGGAACAGGCACAACGTGTGGGTGGGCACACAGCCACTGCCCTTGCATGGCCACAGCTCGCTGCCAGCACTGAGAACAGCATCCGTGGGCAAATTCGGGGAAGGCAAATGCTTTGAGACTGGCTGTGTGAATACAAACACAACCCTTCCGTCTGGCCCTGAGCACTCCAGGAGCACCCCGGGAGGCAGCACAGGCTGCCAGTGCTCCTCTTGCATCCCCAGCCTTGCGCCATCCCTTCTCCCTCCCGGCTCCTGGGCTGCCTTGTGCCCCCCACGGATTCCTGCTGGCCCTCCCTCTGCCCTGCACATGTGCGGGGACAGCTGGAAAACAGCGGGAGCCCGTTAAAGCCACCGTAAAACTAAATCAGGAGAGCCAAATAAAATATTTAACAAGCGAATGAAAGCGCAACGGGAGCCATGAGAGAATCTCCTCCACCACGTCAAGTTTGTCCCCCGGACCTCAGCAAATGTCACCTGTGTGCACCCACTCGAGATGGGGGGCAAGGGCTCCCCACAGGGCAGGTCCTGGCTTCCAGAGCCACCTCCTCCCAAGGCAAACAGCTGCATCCGGGGCATGCCACAAGGCCAAGATAAGCCGAAACAATGGCATCACCACCCAAAAATTCCACCCAGCGCGAAGCAGGATGGCTGGTGGCGGGAGGGGCAGAGCCAGAGCCATTGCACCAGGGTGCACAGGAGACTCCTGACAGTATCCCCAAGCAAGCACGTGGAAAATGGCCTTTGGGGACTCACATCAGTCAGAAGAAACTCCAAATCTATCTCCTGCTGATGAGCCAAGCCCAGGCAGGAGCAGACAGCAAGGCAAAGGGATGCCCCAGCAGAGCCCGGGATAAACTTTGCCTGCCCGAAGTTTCCAGGGCTAATCCCTGCTGGCTGCAAGCCCAGGGGCTCAGGAGGGCCCATGTCTCCCCAGCCCCACACAGAAGGCAGCACACAAGGAAGGGGCCAGGGCCAGAGCTGCCCTCCTTTTCCTCTGCAACCCTCATCTGCCTCTGAGAGCAGAGAAGCAGCCATGGGGTGAGCAGCCCCCAGAGCACAGGGATCCCCCAAAAGCAAGGGGAATAAGAGAGGTTCCAGCACCCCACTGCAGGAGCCCTGCATCCCCCCCAGCCCTCCCGGCAGGAACGGGCTCCTCCCCGGGGTGACCAGGGAGGGAAACGGAGCGTGATGGGCTGAAAGCCGAGCCAGGGGCTCGGGGCCAAAGAACCACTCGGCTTTGTCACAGTGGATGCACACAGAGCCGGGCCAGGCTGTGCCCCGGCTGTGTCACCCCCAGCTCCCCCCTGCCCCGACCCAGCGCCGTCGCAAAGCAGGGAGGAAACCCAGGCGGATGTTTTCCAGAGCCCACGGCAATTACAGCCGGCCACAGCCCCCAGCAGCTCCTTCCTGCTCCCGCAGTGACCCCCCCAGGAATATTCCAGCAGATGGAAACCCTGCTCCGCCCGGGTGGATGCATCCCTGGGCCGTGCGGAGCAGGAGGGGTCCGTGGCAGGGCATGGGGCAGCAGGGAGGAGGTGACAGGAACACCCGGGACACCGGGACAGCCCGGGAACCACGGGGGTGCCCCCGCCTCCCCCATGGAAATGCTGCCCGAACAAGGATTCCCTGGGGATGCACGGCCGGGATGCCTTTTCCAGAAGGCATTGTTTGCACGGAGCGGAGGAAGCCGCTTGGAGCCACCCCAGCCCATTTCCAGGGCAGCATCCCATAAATCACAGCGCAGGGAAGGGACCAGCGCCCAGATTTCCTGTCACTCGGCCACAGCTGCTCCGCTATTGCATCAGCTCCAGGGAAAAGGCTCTTTTTGTGCCACATCCCAGCAGTCCCGGCCCTGCAGGAGCATCCCGGGGCTGTGTCCCGGGGCTCTGAGCAGGGGACAGGGGTGGCACAGGGCAGATGTGTGGCACTGTCCCCAGCCTGTGCCACCAAGGGCCACTCCCTGTGCTCTCAGCATCACAACAGAGCAAACAGAAGAGTTAGCTAATGCTTATATCCTTATATCCTGCTGTTTTCCTTCTCTCATTCTAGTGATACAGATATCACTAGAAAAGGCACAATTGCAGCAGACTTTTTTTTTCTCTCTTTTTTCAGATATTGCACGTACATCCTGCTCTGCCCCTGAACGCCCCCCCTCCCTTATACACAGCTGGATTTAAACCAGCATCCCCTGGAAGGGCAGGGTTAAGGGCGCTTCACTGCAGGAATTTGGCCTCTGCCACAGATTTGGGGTTTGCCAGCCCTGTGTGAGGTGCCCGTGGATAATAAACCTAGAGGGAACAGCCCCGAGGTGGATTTGCTCTGTGCAGGGGATGCAGCCCACACTGCCGAGGAGGCTGTCAAGGCAGACTGATCCCATGGCTCCAGAGCAGCCCCGCCCCAGAGACAGCACAGCTCAGCCCTAAATTACCCACCGTGCCCAGACAAAGCCGCTGGCACGGCCAGAGGTGGGCGCATCTTCTCAGGATGGGAAGGGAGCATCCCTCCTCCCAGTTTCTGCGCCGCCGGCCGCACCGAGCCAGCCCCAGCCCCTCGCACAGGTATTTCCACAGCCTGACGTCAGCGCTGCTCCCAGGAGGAGCCTTATTCAGCAAAACGAGCTGGAGCTGCAGCTGCGTCTCTACAAAGACGCATCCATCCTACCACAGCCCCGGGAGAGCACGGGGAAGGGCTGGCAAAGGCAAGTCTGGCAGTGAGGATGCCAAATCCCCGCAGGAATCCAGCGACAGGCATCCCTGGCACAGAGGGATGCTGGCTGGCTGGCTGTAGATGCACTTCAAAGCAGCTGCAGACACAAAGGAATGAAGAAGGAGAGGTGCAAGGAAAGGAGCCTGGTAAATGGCTGGAAACAAAGCCAAGAGCCATGAGCCAGCAGCCTCATCCCTTCCCCAGCTCCTCGCCAAGTGGCCAGGAGATGGAAAAGGTGGAAGTAGAAGGAGATGGAAAAGGTGGAAGGACAGGCTGAGGGTTTCCTGCCCTTGCCATGCCAGGCTGTACCCCAGCCAAGCTGCCCTGCCCAGGGTCTGCAGTGCCTGCCCAGCCCTGCCCTGGGGCAGCTCCTCTCCCCCATCCCTCAGCCTGACGCTCACACCACACCCTGGTTTGTGGCCAAACGTGTATATTTAGCTTCCCTGCAGCAAGGCAAGGCAAGGCAAGGCAGCCCTCCAGCTCGCTGGGCTCCCTCCAAGTGTGCAACAAAGCCAGCTCAGCACGGCCTTGCTGCAGAGCACAGCCAAGGGGAGCAGGGAATATCCCAGGGGGGCTCCCCCACTTCCAGCCACGGGGAGAGACAAGGTCTGTCCCGGGATCTGAGCCACTTGGGTGCAAGAGAAGGGGGTTTGACTCCCAGCCACAGCCCAGCACTGCTCCTCTCCACCCTGCTGCTCCCTGCCCCTCCTCTGGCACAGCCTCACCTACTGCAGGCACTTCCCTGGCCAGGAGCCTCCAATCTCCCACTCTGGTTTGCAGGGCCAGCAAGTCCCTCTCCATTTTCCACAGGGATTCACCAAGCAGCATCTGAATGGGATGAATCTGAGCTCAGGCAGCTCAGCTGTGTCTATGCTGGGAGAGGATCAGTGGTGCTTCCAGCTGATCCTGAGCCCAAGGAATCAGCTGCTCTCCACAGCAGCTCTGCATGTGAGGCATGGCAGGCAGGACCCCGGGGTGCAGGGGCTGCAGCCCACACTGCTGGGGGACGCCAGGGAAAATCAGAGTCCACAGGCACAGGCAGGCACACACACACAAAGCACTGCCTGGGTAGCTGCTGCCTCAGTGCACACTGTTCCTTCCCTCTGCACACTGAGATGTCATCCCTGGCAGGCAGTGCTGGGAGAATAAGACACTTCCCTGGCCCTTTTCAGCAAGAGCAGGATTCTGGGACATGCTGGAGCAGCCAAGCTTGCCAAAGTGCCCCTCCTGCCTCATGGCTCCTCACCTTCCTGTTTGACCCGGGGCTGAGGATGCTCAGGGTCTCCCTTGGGGCCGCAGCACTGGTGTGTCCCCACCACAAATGCACGGCAGGATGGTGGCACAGCTCTCCCCATCCTCCTATCTCCCTCCATCACATCCCTGATAGCTTCGGGGCCCTTGGCAGGAGCAAGGGGCACCACCATCCCACAACAAGCAGAAGTGGCACCACGGCTCATGCTCCAGGCTCTGCGTTGGATTGCAACACCGCAGTGACAGATTTTCCATTACTCCTTGCTTGGGTGTTCCTGCTCCGCCTTTCCTTTCCAGTCCCATCACCTCACCTCTCCCCATCCCTGTGCTCCTGCCAGGGACCTGGAGGGAGGATGGGAACACGAGGATCTCTGTCTGCCTAAAAGCTGGGACACGGGTGCAGGACTCTGTAATCCAGACACCAAACTGAGTCAGCCAGGAGCAGTCCTGGGCTGGCAGAGAGCTTCCTGCCAGCTCCCAGCCTCCAGCACCCACAGCCCCAGGAGCAACCCCGCTCCCACTGCTGGCAATGCCAGCAGCCCCAAGAAAGCCCAGGACACGAGAGCAGGGGGCTCCACCCCTCACACCGCCCCATTCCACACTCCCACAGACCATCTTCTGTGCTTTTTTTTTTCCTGAGGGAAAAACTAATGCTAGTCAGCCTGTTCTTCAGCTTCCCACAGAGGCATCCCTCCCATCGGCAGGGCTCTGAGCAGGGAATTGGAGCATCCTTAGTTACTGCTCTGCAAGGTCCTCTCACACTCCCAGAGCTGGCAGGAGGCAGCTCCCAAAGAGCCCTGGCTGTGCCCACACTGCCCCTGAGCCGCTCCCTTTGTTAGGGACTGCCATGGAAATCAAGCCCTCCTGCCTCTCCTGCCCCACCGTCTCCCTGCCTGGAGCCAAGGACTGCAGTTACTTATTAATTGCACAGCGGCTTCTGCAGCTTGAATTTCACCGGGCTGAGCCGGCAGTGATGTGCTCTGCAGGGAGAGCACCCCACACCTGGCTGAGCCCCACACCTGGCTGTGCCCATGTCCTGCTGCACCCCACACCTGGCTGTGCCCATGTCCTGCTGCCCCCACACCTGGCTGTAGGGTCAGGCATCATGTGCATGTCCCTGGCAGCACGCTGAGCTTGTGCCCTCCTCGCATCCCAGTCCCCCTCTGGAATTCCCCCGCAAACCAACGCTGGAGAGCAGCTTTAAGCCTGAGGGGTTCCTGAGTGACTCCCACCTGCTTTCCTGATGCCCCTTTCCGAACAAACAGAGCCTCCCACCATTCCTCACGCTCCCCAAAACCCATCCTCAGCCGGACCCCGCCGCACGTGTGCCGGCTGCATCCCTGGAGCTTGTGCCTGCCTCGTGCTTGGGATGGGAAAACAGGAAACCTCCCGCTGCCACAATCCCCCGCTGCTCTGGGAAGAAAGGACGGGAGGCGGAAAGGCTTGGCCAGGGCTCCGGTGACCCTGCAAAACTCATTTAAGGCTCAGCAAAGAGAGAGGGAGCTGGGGGAATGTGCGGCGGTTTGGCTGCAGGAGAACTCTGGTCCCTCCGGAGCTTCCTGCCAGGAGTGATAACCTAAAGCCAGCCCTGAGCCCAGCCCGCTGCCACCTGCCAGCGGGGATGGGAGCTGGCCCTGCACCCAGGCTGCTCCTCCAGTTAAACATTCACCTCCCGAAGCAGGAAAGTTAGCCCCAACCGTCCCTGGAAACAATGTCACAGACCTCAAAAAAAAAAAAAAAAAAAAAAAAAAAAAAAAAAAGAAAAAAAGAAAAAATCTATTTTTATATTTCCCTGTGCTTTTTAAAGGAAAAAAGCTCATTCTGTAGCTCAGGAAACGCCCACATCCTCCTGACTGCGCAGGGAGGAGCCCACTGGATTTTTCCAGGGAGCATGAAGCAACAGGCAGGCTGGAAATGAGTTTTCCATGGGCACCCGGGAGCGGCGGCGCGGGGCTCGGCAGCGGGAGCCGGCGGCATTTCTCACCCGTGACCCGCTGCAATCCCGGGCTGCAATCCCAGGCTGCAATCCCAGGCATCCGGGCATTGCTCATTCAGCACTGCCAGCCTCCCGAACAAGCGGGGCTTTATGAATCTATGAATCACCTCCCCGCTAAGCTTCGGGCCGGCCCAGGAGTTCAGGAGCGACACCAAACCCCGGGCTCGGAGCTCCCATCGCCGGCACACCGGGAGGAAAATCCGGGATCCGCATCCCGGAAAGACGGCTCGGAATTTGCATGGGGCTTTTATGCACTGAACAAACGGACTCAGGTTTATTCTTCCAGAGCCTGGGCGGTTCCTCAGGGGAAAGCTCAAGGCATCAACAGGGACACGCTCCAGCCTAGCTCAGCTCTAAGCACAGAGAAGTTTTTTGGTTTGCTCCCGTTTCAGCTCACCCCCTGTCCCCAGGTCTCTCTCAGGGGCAGCATTCCCTGTGGGATGGGGGCTGGCACTGCCCCCTCCCTGCCTGTGGGGCAGGCACCGGGACAGGGACCACCGCACCTACAGAAACCCCCCGAGCAGAGAGCAGCAGGGGTACAGCCCTGTTCCCCCCAGAGCACATCCTCAGGACACCCACAAATCCCCCAGGACACGGGGAGAGAAAAAGAGCACGGACACTGCTGGGGATTCCTCCTGGCACAGCCTGGCCTCCTCCTCCTCCTCCAGCAAGGCAGGGGCCCCTGACCCAGCCCCGACCCCCCCACGCAGGGCAGGCTCATCCCGGAGCGACAGCAGCGACTCTGCCCCCGGGTCAGTGCCCAGCTGGCCGGGCAGCCGCTATTTTCTGCTTAAAAAGGAAAAGATTCACACAAAGAAAGATATCCGAGGGGCCAAGCCCTTCCCACCCACACACAAATAGGTTTATTTAAAGGAGGAAGACAGCAAATTCCTATTTCCCTGTGTTTACTTGGAGATGGCCGGAAAAGAATGAAAGCACCAATGCCTCCAATGCTCAGACATCATCAGGACCCTTTGGTATTTCTCCACCAAACAAACACACCGAGGCAGCAGGGGCCGGACCCTGGAGATGGGGGGGCAGATGGGCAGAGAGGGCTGCAGAGAGGCAGCGCCAGCCCTGCCGGACCCCTGGATCCATCCCCAGAGCCATCCCGAGCTCACGGTGCGGTCCCAAGGGTGCTCACCCAGGGGCTCGGGTCACTGCAGCTCCTCGGGAGCGGCACGGCGACACCAGGGTCGAGGATCAGCCGCTGCTCCCGCCTCCCTGCCAGCCTCAGGCTGACAGGAGCCACGGCAGCCCCGCTTCCCAGAGAGCCTGACCAGCCACAACCCCGAGCAGGGCCCTGGAGACCTGCAGGGACTCTCTGCTGCCCTAACGCAGCCCAAAGCCGCCTTTGCTAAAGTCCCGTAGCAACCCAAAGCCCTCATTAGCTCGCCCAGCTGGGGGCTGGCTGCGAGGCGAGACGGGGAGGGGTGAAAGCGCACCTGGGGCCAGGTTTGCGGGGAATCAAAGGAACCGGCTGGGAGAAGGAAAAGGTTTTGTTTGCACCTGCCACTGCTAACTTCCCTTCCCCGAGAGATCCTCCGAGCCACGGGAGCCCCCATCCCATCCCATAGCGGCCGTGCCGGGTGGGCTGGGCTCCCCTGACCCAAACCAGGGGACAGGAGCCACCCCAGGTGCGGGCACACACCTCAAACAGAACTCCTCAGCCCGGCAAGCCGGGGGTCACCCACACCTTCTGTGCCCCCTGCCCAGGGCCAGCAGCCCCTAGCACGGCCGGGGATGTGGGGCAGGGCAGAGGGGCCGCTCCGGGGACACCGCGGGGAGAAGGAGCTGCTCCCGGCTCCGGGAGAGCCCCGTGGGGGAAAAGGGCAGGCGGGCATGCAGGGGGCTCAGGGAAGGGCGAGGCGGGGATGAGCGCCGGCTCCGGGCTGGGAGACCGCTCTGAGGCACCGGGGATGCGGGAAGGGGATGCGCTCACCGAAGTACACGGTCTTGTCGCACTTGGGGCACTTGGATGCCATGGCGGGAGAGCGGAGCGGAGCCGAGCCGTGCCGTGCCGAGCCGTGCTGTGATGTGCCGCGCCGTGCTCCCCGCTCCGCCCGGCCCCCGCCCACCGCTGCTCGGGGGGAGCCGGGGCGGGGCCGAGCGGCGGCGGGGCTCGGTACGGCTCGGTACGGCCCGGCCCGGCTCCGGCCCAGCAGGTGCCAGGTCCCGGCGGCAGAAAGAACACCCCCTGCCCCGTCTCCCAAAGACCATACTCGGGACGCCAATGCTCCCGACTGGGAAAAAACCTGGGAAAAAAACCCTCCATAATAAACAGGTTGTAGTTGAGCGACGCGACTTGTGGGGTTTTTACCGGCCCCAAAAGATCCGGCCAGGAGCTTCCCCGGCTGAGCCCGGCCAGCAGCGGTCCCCGGGACATGAGTGGGGTTTTGTGGGCGCAGAGGGGCTCGGGCATGTCCCATCCCCCGCGGGAGCGCGCAGCGCGTCCCCGTGCCCGCCCCAGCCCCGCTCGAGCATCCCCCGGCTCCCGGCGCCATCCCACTCCGTTGCCATGGAAACTCCCATCTCCAAAACCCCTCCGGCTGCTCAGGGATGCTCAGGGAGCCGTGAAGGCACGGCGAGGACACTCGAGGAGCCATGGCGAGGCGGGGGAAGCTCCTCTGTGCCCGGGTGGTGCGGGGCTGTGGTGGGTGCCAGGGCTGGTGCCAGCGGAGCTGCGCCCCTGCACTGTTGGTAAACAGGACATCTGCCGCTCGGCGGGCGCAGCCTTGCATTATTCATCAGCCTGGCTCTGCTCCGCCGCCATTGTCACTGAATTCCTGTCTCTGCCGGCAGCTGGTGCAGCTGCCAAGCGCCCGCCCGGCGCACGGGCAGCCTTGGGACGGGAGCCCGGGGCTCCGGGACGGGACGCAGTGACCCTGCCGTGGGGCCGGAGGGGCCGGGGATGCCCCACAGCGAGTTCTGCATCTCCCGTGCTCCCCGCTGGGTCGGGAGGCGCAGGCATCCCTGTCACTCCCCGCCAGCTGCTGTCACAACAATGTGTGGCTTTGTGGGGTCCCTGCGCGGGGGCAGGTGGCAGCGCTGCCTCCGGGGCGCCCCGGCCCCACACGGGACCTGGGGGGGGGCTCAGACCCACCGTGGAGCCAGCGTGCCCCAGCCCAGGCCTGCAGACACCAGGGCAGGAGCTGGGCATTTGTGGAGATGTTGATTTTGAAGGCCAGCTGCTGGCTCCAGCACAGTCCCATGGCAGCTCCTGTGGGTCCCTGTGTGGTACCCGGGGTGTCCTGCAGCCCTATAGCACCCCATGGCAGCAGGCAGGTGCCAGCACAGCATCCCTGTGCCTGCAGCAGCTCCCATCTCATGCACTGAGGGGACATCCTGACAAGGGTCTCCTGTCTAAATCCTCCACATTCCACACCCCGAGGCAGCCTCAGCTGGAGTTCCAGCCCTGGGGGCCGAGGGGTGTAAGAGGAGGAGGAAGAAGGCTGCATTCCCTCCTTTTGGGGATGCTGCAGGACCAGCACCCAGAAGGTGCCGGCCAAGAGCTTTTCACACTCAGAGGCTGAGGGGAATTAAGACAAATCACCTAAAGGTGTGAATCCCTGCCTGTAAATGCGCTAAATCCCGAGCGGATATGCTGCTTCAGGAGCAAAGTGGCTTTAGCTGGTCGTGTCTTAATCTTCCCCGATTTAGGCTCGGCGTGCTCCTGCAGGAGGGCGGGGATGTCCTGGAGCCTGGGACAGGAGACTGGGGCAGCACAGGCTGAGCCGGCAGGGATGGCAGAGCTGCTGTGGGGACACCCCTGAGCCCGCCGTGCCTCTCGCCAGGCAGCACATTCATAATTTCACCAAAGGATGAATTTCCATCAGAAACTCCAGGGCCCATCCCTGTCCAAGGGCTGAGCCGAAGGTGCGAGGCTGGGACCTCTGCCTAGGGCGGGTCAAGCAGAGAGCTCCGCACAGAGATTAAGGGAAAGTGAGGAATAAATAACGAATAACTCCCTCCAGGCTGCCTCTCCTTTGGCTCACCTCTCTCCCCCTCCCTGCACGGACTCCCCTCAGCTCTTTTTTCTTCATTCAGATACAAATACCACAAAAACTCACGGACCCAGACAGAGCTGCTCCTAAGGGGAGCTGGGGGCTGGAAAGGCTTTCTCTGCTCTCGTGTTTTCTGGCATTTGGGATGCCTTGGATTTGTTACAGGGCAAGAAGAGGCTGGGGGGGGGTGAGGAATAAAAAAAGGTTATGGGGAAAAAAATAAAAAAATATTATGGAGAAAAAAAATAATAAAAGGTTATGGTAAAAACCCCTGCTGCTGGCTTCGTGTGCCCAGAGACCAGTGATCCCTGTGTGGCTGCAGACCCTTGGCTGGTGCAACATGTGCAGCCACATGCCAGGGCCCTCTGTCCCTCCTGACAAGGTCACCCCAGGGTGACACACTGCAGCTTTCTCTTTATTTCACCCCTGAAACTCCTGTGTCCCAAACAAAGACAATGGCTGCTGCCCATGGCAAGTACCAGCCACTGCCCACAGGCCACCCCAGTTCTGCCTCAGATCCTTGGATTAGGCAGGAGTTCAATGGAAAAAGTGTTTGGGCTTTCCTTCACGGGCTGGGAGCAGTTCCCTGTGATGGGATGGAAGAGAAAGAGCCTTTCACAAAACCTGGCAGAAGACTTTATTCCTTATTTCATTTATTCTGCACAGCCCTCCTGGACATGCAGTGCCTGCCAGGATGGATCTGGCGGGCTGGGCAGAACCCTGCCTGGACCAGGAGAAATGTGTCCCAAATATGAGGATCCCGGGGCTGGCTGGGCTGGGGGACAGCCACACACACGGGGGACAGCCACACTGCCGGGTACCCAGCCTTGCTGTGCAGCATCAGTGCTCAGCGCAGGGATTAGGAAGGATTAGCAGGAGACGGGAAGATGGAGGAGCAGAGGACGGGCTGGCAGGGGCTGGCAGGGGCTCGTCAGGCAGCACATGCCACCGAGCAGCTGCCCGGCCCTGCAGCCCCAGCCAGGCACTTGTCGCTCCTCTCTGTCCTTTAAAAGGCATCCGAGCCCCTGCTGGTATCGGGCAGCGCCGATAGCGCTGTCACGCCCGCGATAAACGGGTTTGCAGATATCCCCTTTGTCCTTGCCATCTGCAATGGATGTCCCGTCGTCCCCGAGGGGCCGGGGCTGCCCAGGGCTGCTGAGGATCCCGGCAGGCTGCACACAGATGCTGGGGATGCAGAGCTCGGCGTGAATCCCGGTGGGGCAGGGGTGATGCCTCCGTGCAGTGCCTGAAAACTTTTTTTGGTGCTCCAAGCAAGAAAAGGCAGGAGACCAGCTGGAGAGACCTGAGCACAGCACTCAGACCCATGCAGAGAGTGGCCAGGGGTGGGGGTAGCTGGAGCCTGGCTGTCCCCCAGGTTTTCCAGGGTGTCCCAAGGAACGGGCTGTGCTCAGACCAGGCTTCAGTGGCAAAGTTCAGCTCAGGGCAGTTGGCCATTAAGCCCTGTCAGTCCCACGGCCCATGCTGTGGCCAGAGGTCAGGCTGGCCATGGTGCAATGTGCCTCTGAGGGCTGGCACGGCAGCAGGAAAAATGTGCACAGTGCCTGCCCAGCTTTCATGTGGCTGTGTCCCACATGCACAGCACCTCCAGGACACTCCCAGTGAGCCTCTGGGGGAGGGAAGGGACTGGACACACATAATCCATGGATGTCCCCATGGCACCGTGTTCTCCTTCAGCATCACCCACCCACTAGGATGCATTTGGCCTCGTTTCACACCAGATATCCCAGGCAGCTTCCTGGATTCAGGGAAACCCAGTTTGGCTGCTCATCCACATGCTCCACACCTCCCTCCTGTCCTGCCTGGGGGCAGCCAAAGCACAGGCAGGGGGAACAAACTCGCTCCTGCTCAGATGGAAAATCTTTGAACGAGCACAACTTGGCTGAAACCCTCCAGCCAGAACCTGTAAATCTGCTCCCTGTGACGCTGCCAGCATCCCACAGAGCTCTGCATCCAGGTGGAGAGTCCCCTTGCAGGAGGGAAAGGAGGAAGCTGTCTGCAGAAAGATGCTGAATTTATGTTATTCATTCTCACTCCAGGAATGTGGTGAATGAACTTGCAAAGCCCAGGGCAGGAATCAAGTGTGCTTCAACCCTGACCTGCCCTGACTTTCTTCCAGGCTGAAGAAGAGGTGGAGACAAGCCCCAGCCCCACAACCCATCTGAATTTACTGTGTGTCTTTTCTTGAGGCAGCTTTCCTCCTCCTGCACGGGGGAAACGTGACTGCCAGAGACTGAGTCTTCCACCAGGCTTTAAAGCTGCTCAAGCAGGGCAAAACCCTTCTGTCAGTCCCCAGGGAGGGAAGCAAAGGCAGGAGGGACAAGGAGATGTGTTCTCCTCCCTTGGGAAGGGCCATAAACACCACCCACACTCAAGACACCTTCATATTCTGAAGATCCCATCACTGTTGGCTCCTGCAGGCTCACCTCGAAAGGCACTGACTACATTTACAGGAAGAACCCCAAACAAACCCTCTCTCACCAGCTCCAGGGCTGTCCTGCCCCGACTTGCCTTTCTGCAGCAATCTTTCCTTTCTCCTTCTAATGCTGCTGCCAAAGCTTATTTGGGTTAATGGTGTTTTTAAGTCTTTGCCCTCTTGCTGGATTAAGGAGAATAGAAAAGATTTCAGGGTCCAGTTTCTGTAAATGAGTCAAATTCATTCCTTCTCCTCACAGTCAAAACCTGCCGGATTTTATTTGTGCTCCTCCCAGAAATCTCCCAGGCTGGCACGCCTCCCGTGCCACTACTCATCCCATGCCCCTGTGAGCAGGTGAGTGCCCCCTCCTCCTCCTGGCAGTGGGAAGAAGCTCCTCCATGATGCAATCCTGCCATCCCAAAGAGCCTCTCCAGCTTCCCAAGGTCTGGCTTGTGTAACACTTGCACTGAGAGCCAGAGCCCGCAGCAGAGCTGGCACCGGCTCCAAATTTCCATTTCAAAAGAAAATTTCAGCGTGTATTTTGCTTTACAACTCTCCAATAGTGTCCTGGTTACAACCCTCCTCCCACAGCAGGAA